ATTACTGTTAACCATTTTACACACATGGACACCGAGATTTATCAAGGGGTCAAGTAAAACCCATCTAGAGCCAAAAAGCCAGGACATGGTAAGGCCATGCTCCAGATGTAGTTCTGTCTGACACAAACTCTGAAGTGCTAACCACAGCACCAAACCACCTCACCGGTGCAAATATACATTCAAACGGCTTGACCCGTTTGTAGGACTCCTCCTCCTCTCATTGCTGACCTTGTGTGGCTAGTGGCTCTCACACACCTCTTGCCAGCCCCCTCCTCACTCTGCTTAAAGATGATTCCTGGGCTGCCTGTGCCAAGCTGCTTTCGTTGATCCCAGCTAGGCGAGGAGGGAAATTGGGAATGTATTTCCCTTAGTTTCTGCCTCACATATGTATCTTTCCATTTGTCTGGTGTCAGCTATTCAATATCGTAGCCGTGACCGTGCCAGAGCAACTGGGCAGTCCTGAGTCATGTGGGTCCCTGCATCTTCTTACAGGCTGCGTGCCTCCACGCCTGCCGGGGGGCTGTGAATCCCTGCGAGTGGCTGCTCTTCTGTGTGCCTATGTGGGTGGAGAAATAACATTACCCTGGTGGCAAGGGAAAGCTAATCCTCTCTTTATTTGCTTAGCTCTCAAAAAACTTGAACGACAGGTTTAACTTAGATCTGTGCCGTTTTAATGCAAATTTTATACAGGTATAGTTACGGCACTCCTTTTTGTTTTATATGCCAGATGGCAGAAAATCTGTCCTGAGTAAGAATGCCTGTGGTGTGACTGAGTGTCTTCGAGCTCCTGAGGTTCCTGCTCTCCCCTGAGGTTCTGTTACCACCAAGACAACATTCTTCCTCTCTTCTCCTGTCCCCTCCTCACATTAAGTCAGTAGAACCGCCCAGCATGCTCTAGACGTGATTCTTCAGTGCAGTGATTTCCAGACCTGCTTGATTTTTTAAAGACTCATCGGAAGGCACTGGTTAGAATTGCAAGTATCTGTGTCTTAATCGAGACTTAGTGAGTCAGAATCTTCATGGGAGGAGCCCAGGAATTTGTATTTTTACAAGTCCTTCAGGTGATTCTCAAAAACTGGGTGTTTCGAAAATGTTGCTTTGGCGCAGCAAACACTGGTTAACTACTGGTGGTGAGAATGGCAGGCTGAAGGTGGGCAATGACAGAAATGTAGACTAACAGACTCAGTTATGTGTGCTAACTGAATTCCTTCAGTCGGGTCTTGCCCTCCTCTGGCTAAGGGATCCATCAGTATCTGGTGGAGTTCCGTCAGTTTTTCGTGCCCAGTGATTTTATGTACTTTTTTTTTTTAGTGCCCGGTGATTTTATGTATTCGTCTCTTCAGGCAGGCCGAGTGCTGCTTTTCTGGTCACCTTTGAAGTCTAGCTGCCAAGTTTCAAAAAACTTGGTTCACTAGATTTCTCTCCCTGGGCCTTTCAGCTCCTGCTAACGTAAAGACTGCTGTTTCTCCCACTTCCAGTTTTCCACCCAAGTACACACGTCTCTTTGATTTGTTATTCTCTCACTGCCTCCACCTTACTAATTCATTCAGTCATTCATTCAGCAAGTGTCTGTTGTGCCAGGCTGTGGGCGGGCTACAGAGATGAACACGACACAATCCCTGCCCTCAAGTGCACAGTCTATCTAGTAGGAACACAGATGTGTAAACAATTAAAATGCCAGCGATGTGCTAAGTGCTATCAGTGAAGTGTGTGCAGAGTTGAAGGGGCACCAGGAAGAAGTGACTTAGAAGTTGCAGCAGGTGTCACAGAGGAGGTGGCTTTTGAGCAGGGTCTTGTGGTCATAGAAAAGGGGGAGGGCATTTTAAAGGCTCATCACCACAGTCCTCACATTCTCATCGCAGTTCATCTTCTGGGTCTCCTTAATGTCTTTGCTCATTTCTGGATCTAATGGAGCTGGTTGTCATGACTGAATTAGACTCCCATTGATTGACTTTTTTCAAAACTCAAGATGGTTAGTCGTTGATGAATGTCCAAGATCCCAAGTCTACTAGTCCTTCCCACAATCAGTTACTGAGAGTGAATGATTGAGACTCTAAACCCTGAAGAAAGCTTATAAAGGCCTTTTACTTTATCAGATGTGTTCTGAGCCAGCAGAAGTGGTCTTTGTGCCCTTCAGGGAGTGGGATGTGTATGTACAGTGGAGGTAGGGAAGCTTGTGAGGGGGAAATGGGGCAGGAGAATGCTCCATTGTTTCTTTTGCAATAAAAGATTGATTTCCTCTTTTTCCTTGGTAGGCTCCCACATCTCTGTTAGTTGTGTGTATTGTTGGAGATTACCTAAACCCTTCGCTTTGCTAATTGACAAGGTTTGGTTTTTATTTCCAAAAAATGCACTATGGGTTTCCCTTATTTCCCTAGAAGACCAGAGATGAAGGGCCATTGTGATTAAACTTGTATAGTCTAATAAGTATTTGTGATTGTACTTTTGAATATTTATTGTTTCTTGAAATAGTGGATGTTCATTATAGAAAAGTAAGAAAATACAGATAAGCAAAAAGGACAAGAAGCTAAAATCAGTCATAACTTTGCAAGCTGTGGCTAACCACTGTTAATATTTTGGTGCATAAAACTCCAGACTTTCTTTATGTATACATTTGTATATGTAAAATTATTATTATTCAAAAAATTGAATATACTGTGTTAACTGTTTACTATCTTGTTTTTTCCCTGTTTTTATATATATATATATATATACATATATATATATGTATATATATATATATATATATACTGTGACCATCTTATTGTGTTTACAAATACGTATTTATAGAACCATTTGTTCTTAATGAAAAAAATAGTTTTGAGATTATGCAAATCATTTGGTCTTGTTTTTTTTTAAATCAAACTTTGTTAAAGTATGTAAAACCAGTATGTTAAAGTATGTAAAACCAGGGTTTCTTATCCTTAACACTGTTGACATTTTGGACTGGCTAATTCTTCATTGTGGGACTGTCCTGTACATTGCAGGACACTTGGCAGCATCCCTGGCCTCTATCCCTTAAATGCCAGTAGCATCCCTTCCCTCTGGTTGTGACAAAAATATCTCTAGACATTGTCAGTTCTCCCCTGGGGAATAAAATCATTCCCAGTTGAAAGCCACTGGTATAGATGGTCTGTGATGTAAACATCCAGATTCATTCCAGTGTTTTCATTATAAAGAATGAGTCAGGTAATATTCTTATTTGATTTTGTCACCTGTGTGCATATTGTCATTGTATAAATTCTAAAAAGGCAGGTGCTGAATCAAAATTTTAATAGAAATTGCCACATTACTCCGAAAAGATGGTAATAGTTTATTTTTCAGCTATATCCTGATCGTTCCAAAACTGTCTCCTCTTTCCTGAGTTCTAGATCCACATATCTAGTTGCTGGTTGAACATGTCCTTTTGTGTGTTTCGTGGGCCTCTCCTAAGCTCAACTCCGGTTTTCTTTAGCCCGCCAAACTTGCATTTCTTGCTGTATTTCTCTGTCATGGAATAGCACTACCATCTGCCAGAAACCTTCTCACCCATATCCATCCAGTCCAGTCTTTCTCCCTAATATCTCTCTTAATTTTTTCACTTCTTTTCATCCCTTATACCACTGTCTTTAAGCTACTCCTAACTTGCCCAGATCACTGTAGATGGTAGCATAAGGGTAACAGGTAGTCTCTCTGGCTTCTGCCCTTGATCTCACTCTCCTCAGGAAGAGTGAACTAACTTGCTGCACCGTGTAGCCTGTGCCACTCCCCTGCTTACGCCCCTCAGTGAGCCCTGCTACCTCCCCACCATCGACTCCATCAGTCCTGTGCTGAGGTGAAAGGCAGATGACCTTCACCACTCGTGGTTTCGAATCTGTGTCCATCAATGTTGTAAATGTTAATGTGCAACTTACTTTTTATGCTAAATTTTCACTTTAAACTTTTTTTTTTAATTAAAATATTCTTTTTAAAATTATTTATTTATTTTTTTTTAAGAGAGAGTGCACAGGTTCATGGGTGGGGGAGAGGGAGAGAGAGAATCCCAAGCAGGTTCCACACAGAGCCCAGCGCAGGTCTCACGACCAACCGTGAGATCATGACCTGAGCCAAAATCAAAAGTCAGACGCTTAACCGACTGAGCCACCCAGGCGCCCCTGAAAGTTCTTTTTTAGAAAACAATGCTCTACCATGTCACCTCACAACATATATTTATTCCCCCAGCTTTGAATTACTCATTCTCCCTTGATTAACTTTTGTTCTCCTGTGTTTCCTGTTCCTTTTAACCCTGCTCTCTACCCATTCATCTGCTACTCTTTCTTTAATACCTAGCATATTTCTTGGCACTTGAACCACACAGTTTTTCCTCTATTGATCAGTTTATCCTTACTGCATTTGTTGCATGTGTAATTTTTGTGTGCTTCAAGTATACTTTTTAATTCAACCTTGTGAAAAGGACATAACATGTACATAAATAATACAAACCAGTGAATCAAGGGGAGGGGATATGAGAATTCCAGCCCTGGTTCAAGCATGGCTACTAAGATGCAGAGAGGCCTTTCAGGTATCCCACCCCAGTGTCTGAACCTTGACTCCTCCCCTGAACTAGACTCTTGATTTTGTGTGGTTCCATAGAGTACCTCCCATGCCAGTGGCATTCATGTGGTCAGACTGAAACTTGGGAGAGATCATTTGTCTGCCAGCCTTGCAGCATTCCATTTTGGTCTATCTTAAATACCAAGGAAACGAGGGGTGCCTAGGAACTCGGGAATCTCTGACATGGTATGCAGCATAGTGCTATGCTGGCTTGGTGTGGAGACAAGCCCTACAATTTTCCACAAGGAGTCGGCTCCAAGACTGTGGGAAATCACACATAGCAAAATCCTTGGCAAAGAACTATCCATTTTTTTTTCCTACTCTCTATGTGGTAATTCTATAACACTCTGTAATTAATTTTATTTTTACAGTGAACAACCGCAGAGTAAGAATAATGCATAACCTATTTCTGTTTCTTGCTATTTTAGGGGACATCACACAGAAGGGATACGAAAAGAAAAGGTCAAAACTCCTGTCTCCCTACATCCCACAGACACAAGGTAGGCAATGAGAAGTGGTTTAAATCTCTTCAGTATTTTTACACCAAAGAATGCTATCTTACAGGAGATCTGTCTTTTGTTGGTTCCTGTTTTTTCCCTCCCTTCCTTACCAGGGGAGAGAAAAAAAAAAAAAAAACGGAAGGAAAGAAAGGAGGAAATGAATCTTAATTGAGCATCTGCTGTGTGCAAGGCACTTTTAAAATACCTAAGTCATCAAATCACTTACACAGAGCTTGGGTGATAGTGTGTATGTGCACAGCTGACATGATTCAATGGTAGAAAATTCCAGGTCATGGAAAAGCTGCATCTTATTTATGCCGGAGCACAAACTGTGGTGGAGAGGAGCAAGGGCAGCAAAAATAAGAAGGATGAACAGACAGATTGAGTACTGCAGGGCAACTCAAGGATTAGTACCTGAGGATTTGGGGGTAAGAACCCTAATAAACTTGTCTATTAATTCACTTATTCCTTCTGCAAAGACACTGGTGGGTTCTTTCTATGTCAAACAGTCCTGAGTCATTGTGTGCTTAATTCCAAAGGGCTTGCTGTAACCTTTGCCTGTAGGCAAGGCTGTCTGTCTCTAAGTCATCATATTTTTTTTCAAGTTACTCAGATTTGAGGATTTCCTTTGATATCCTGTTTCTACTTTAATCACTTTTACTATGAGGAATTTTTTCTTTATTTCTAATTTCTCCCCTGTAGTCAAAGTCCTATTTCCTCAAGCCTGTTCTTTGTGGAGCTAATTGCTTTTATTTCTGGGTTGTAAATACCTTGTGGACTTTGTATTCCCCATAGTTCTAATAGTAAGCATTGCACAGGGTATATGGTCTGTAAGTACTGAATGACTAATAGAATAAGAAAATGAATAATGGTGATGTTCCAATATATTTCACTCTTGTTTTATTTCCTGTATTATTCTTGGAAAGTTCCCCCTGCAAAAACTAGTAGGTCAGTGCAGTGACAGCAATATCTTAATGAACAGAGAGATGTCAAAAGGAATTGAGAGAGAAGAGGTAGAAGTGGGTCCAGTGACAACTAATGAAAAGCCAGCTTTTGCTGAACAGGGCATGACAGAGGCTGCTTAAATGTGGGTCTGGCCCATGCCCCTGTAGGGCCAGAGATTTACGTTAGTCACTTTGTGAAAAAGCAGTCGGATCCTGAGAAGGTAAGTCAATAAGAAATAGGATCAATATAAAAAAGGACTATGATCTGTCTGTTATCTGTAGTCAGGCTACATAGAAACCAGATTATGTTCAAAAACCAGTTTATCGGTTTATTATGAGAAACCACTGAGACATACTCAAGCCTGTGTGGTCAGCACATTCTTGCACCTTGGGTAGGCCTACATGGGGAACCAGATCACAAATAGAAGGTGGTTCAGTGAGTACGAATCAGACATTTAATTGCGGTAGGCCAAGAGAATGGAACATAGCCGTTTCACAGTAGGAAGGGTCTTGCAGATGATCTCGTGCGGAAAATAGAAGCCATTTGATGATAGCTCCTTCGGCTTCCTGCTCTCAGACTTCAGACATGCCACATCTGTGCCCATCATGTTTACCTCCTTCCTTCTGGTTAGAAAGGTAATCTCTTCCTCTTATCTAAGGCCAGGACTTCCGCCTGTGCCTTGGATCCCCTCCCTCTTCCTTTCTCAGAGACCTTGTATTATCATCCCCTGACACCAAGGACAAGGCAGTGGGAGTGGGCTGCCCCTGGTATGGGCAATAAGGTGTGCAGTATCTGTAAAAACTTAGAAAGCAGTAGTAAAGCCAACAAAAAGTTGGTCTACTTTTTATTATCACCCTGTCCAGCAGTTCTAAAGTCTGTAAGTATAAGATGCTCCTGCTGCCCCGCCCCCTTGGTGTGCCCTAGTCATGGCCTCCAGTTCCCGGCTTGCTTGTAAACTCGCTCTCTCCCTCTCAACCAGATTCTTCCCTCAGCAGTCCATCATGCTTGCTAGTGTTCTGCTAAAAAAAAAAAAAAAATCCTCCCTTGTCAGCCTCTTCCATTTACTCCCTCTCTGCTTCCCCTTTGTGATCAAACTGCTCCGAGCTGTCTGTACTTACTGTCTCAATTTTGTCAACTCTTCAGTTCTCAGCCTGTTCCAGTCCCTGCTAGAACTAGTTTAAGTGACATCACAGAGGAAGTTACCACTCTACCTCTCGAAACACTCCTTTTGAAACTTCTCTTCATTTTCTTACTCTCCTCTTGCTGGTGCTCCTAGTCATCCTTGATGGCTCGTCCTCCTCTGTTAAAGGTTGGGATTTTCAAGGGAAGGGCCCAAGCCTTCTTGATGTCTCACTCGATGTCAGTGGCTCATAGACTGCAGCCTGCATCACGGTCGCTGGAGGGCTTGTCAATACACAGATTGGAGGACCCCACTCTCAGGGTTTCTGATTCAGTAAGTCCAGGATTCGGGCCGCGAATTTGCGTTTCTGTTGAATTCCCAGGTGGTGTTGAGGTTGCTGGTCCGGATACCACACTTTGAGAACCAGCGCTCTATCTCCCTCAAGTATTTCAGCCATACCTGTGGCTTTAATTACCATTTAAATACCAGTAACTCCAAAATATGTATCTTAAACTCATATCTCTCCTAAGCTTCTGACCCATAGATCCAACTACATACTTAACGTCTCCATTTATATAGCTTAAAGGAACCTCCATTTCAACATATTCGTCAAATCGATGACATACACACACCATCCCTACCACCACAACCAACCCTTTCATACGTGTACACACACACACACACAGCAAAAAATAAAAACAAGAATCCAACCACAGTGACATCCAACCTGCTCTTACGCTTCTCTTCTTGTTTTCTTCTTCTGAGTAAATCAGACTCACATCTGAAAACCCAACAAGTTAGAGACTTAGAAATCCTCCTCAGCATCTCCTTAATTCCTCATCTCTTGTCTGTCACCAAGTTCTATCAGTTTTCTGTTTCTTCATTTTTGGCAAGTTTAATTTTTTTCTAGGAAATCATCTATTTTGTTTATATTTTCAAATTTACTAAGTTGTCCACAATGTTCTCTTTATTTTTAAAGCCTCTGTTTGTTTACATTATTTACTTGGATCTCTTTTTTCTTTTGATGAGTCTTCCCAGGGGTGCCCGGGTGGCTCAGTCAGTTAAGCGTCTGACTTGGGTTCAGGTCACAATCTTGCGGTTCTTGAGTTTGAGCCCTGTGTCGGGCTCTGTGCTGACAGCTCAGAGCCTAGAGCCCGCTTCAGACTCTGTGTCTCCCTCTCTCTCTGCCCTTCTCCTGTTCATGCTCTGTCTCTGTCTCTGTCTCTCTCTCTCTCAAAAATAAATAAACGTTAAAAAATATTTTTAAAAAAAGTTTGTCTTTGCAAAGAATAAGCTTTTGGTTTTGTTGAAACTTTTTAAGTATGTCTTTATTTTCTGGTTTATTATTTTTGGCTTCCTCTTTTTTTTTTTTTTTTCCGGTGCTAAAAGGTGGTTTTATTAAAGCATGGGGACAGAACCCGTGGGCAGAAAGAGCTGTCTATTATTTTAGGCTTCCATATGTATTTCCTTCCTTGTACTTTTCGTTTACTCTTTTGTACTCTTTCTGCATTTCCTGAGTTGGATGCGTTAGATTTTTCTGCCTTGTTTCCTAAATTAAGTGTTTCGTGATTTCATTGTGGTCACAAAACATGCTTATACAAAATCAAATCTTCGTTATTTGTTACGACCTGGCTAGTATTTAGTAAATCTCTGTAACTCTTCCATTTGTGTTTTATTTGTTAAATGGATGGTTCTGGCCCATTAATTCAAAGAATTAATTGCATTTTTCAGATCTTTTCTATTCTTAGTAACTTTCTGACAGTTTGATCTATCATTTCTAATAGAACTATATTGAAACATCTGTACCATGACTGTGTGTTTGTCAGTTTTCCTTGTAGTTCTGTCAAGTTTTGCTTTATATGTTTTAAAGCGACAGTACTAAGAACAAGACAAGGATGTCCACTCTCACCACTTTTATTCAACATATTACTGGATGTCCCAGCCACAGCAATTAGGCAACATAAAGAAATAAAAGGAATCCAGATTGGTAAGGAAGAAATAAAACTCTCACTACCTACAGATGGCAAGAGACTCTCTGTAGAAACCCTGAAGGCTCCACCAAAAAATTACTAGGACTGATAAATGAGTTCAGTAAACTCACAAGATACAAGATCAATGTGTAGAAATCTGTTGCATTTCTATACGTTAATAATGAAGCGACAGAAAGTGAAATTAAGAAAACAGTCCCATTTACAATTGTACCAAAACCAATAAAATATCTAGGAGTAAACTTAACCAAAGAGATAAAAGACCTGTACTCTGAAAACTGTAAAACACTGAGGAAAGAAATTCAGGATGACACAAAGAAATGAAAAGAGCATGGAATCATGCTCATGGGTTGGAAGAATTAATATATTTTTTTATTTTTATATATTTTTTAATTTGTTTAACTTTATTTATTTTGAGAGAGGGAAAGAGAATTCAAGCGGGGGAGGGGCAGAGAGAGAGGGGGAGAGAGGGAATCCTGAGCAGGCTCCGTGCCATCAGTGCAGAGCCCAGTGCAGGGCTCAAAACCACAAAACCATGAGATCAGGACCTGAGCTGAAATCAAGAGTCAGACGCTCAACTCACTGAGCCACCCAGGTGCCCCAGAATTAATATTTTTAAAATATTTTTTAAATGGCTTAAAAAGCAATCCCTATCAAAAATGCCAACAGCAGTTTTCACACAACTAGAACAAACAATCCTAAAATTTGTATGGAACCATAAAAAACTTCGACTAGCCAAAGCAATCTTGAGAAAGAAAAAACTGTGGAGGTATCACAATTCAGATTTCATGTTATATTACGAAGCAGTAGTAATTAAAACAGTTTGGTACTGGCATAAAAATAGATACATAGAGGGGCGCCTGGGTGGCGCAGTCGGTTAAGCGTCCGACTTCAGCCAGGTCACGATCTCGCGGTCCGGGAGTTCGAGCCCCGCGTCAGGCTCTGGG